AAAATTTTTATCTCAGTAAAAATTATAATTCGAATAGAGACTGTTCTGTCTAGATCACAAGAGAAGCATTTGTATTACTGTGTACATACAGAGACGAGTATGGCTTGCGACTCTTCGGAGGGTGCTATGTACTTCTACATCGATGTAAAAAATCGATTACGTGATCGAAAGTACTTCTGCACAAGTACAAATTTAAGATCACACTGAAGGCGTTGTCAGGAAAATATTTATAATTCAGATAAAAATTTTATCTTTGGTTTTTGTGAAATTAGTGCTGGTTCGAATTTTTTAAATTTATTTTCGATGTGACATTATGCTCTTGGAATTTTATTTATATTCAAACTCGAATTAGGCAACTTATGACATGGAGTACTACAAAAATTTTTCGTCGAGCTTCCCGAAAAGCTATAATTTATGCCCAAGTATTCTCTTATAATGCTTGGACATAGTTAGAATTGTTTACAAAATTTCAGCCTTTTATATGTTACCCGTACTCTATGTATTTTATGAAGATGTTACCATTCCTACAAAAGATGATCGCCAGTCTTTTGTAAAGATATCGTTACCTTTGAAGATCAGTTCTATTATGGACGGCTTATGTTACACTCAACAGACAGTACCTCTCAAAATTGCTCATACACCACATAGAAAAATATTACGTTGAGAGTATGATCAGTTTTAGTATTTCTAGTCTGACATAGTAAGGTGACATTTTGAATAGATAAACTATAAAAACAGAGCTATATTTTAACGAAAATTGCAACTCTATATGTTGAAACTATCTTGAGATATTGGAAAAACAAATCGATTACTTAAGTCTATAATTAAAATTATTTGTTTATTTTAATCTTAAAACAAAGGAAAAAGAATGTTTTCTCTTCACTTTCTTCTGAAAATATGGCGAGTCCCACCGGTAGGATCCATTATCGTGAAAGAGTTAATATTTCACTTTAGTGTGATAAACGATGAGATTGAGAAATACAAATATAAGTTTTCAATGGTCATTTTATTTATTTTTTTATTCAACCATATTCATTCGAATGTAAATCTATAGAGGAAAACTTTGAATATCAGTTGATAGCGTTCCTTGCAGTCTGTCTTCAATTTATGTTTTCCAAGAACTGAAAAGATTTTGTCCTTCAGGATGAAAATTCGAAAAACTGATTTTTCGGTTTGCAGGGTATTAGAGGGTATAAAGATCTTGTCCTGCCCTGTTTAGGTGTCTACTAAGTGCTGTTCTGATCTGTGAACACCGCTGTTTTTCTACCAATGATAGGACTCAATTTTCAAACACATTCACCATTGAGGTATGTTCAGATTTCCAAAAAAGGAAATTATCCAAATTTCTGAAATTTCCATCAGCTCGATAACTATATAGCAGTGCAAATCAAAAGTTCTTAGACATATTGGAAATTTCAGAAATTTTAGAAATTTCTGTAATTTCAGAAATTTCTGTAAGTACATAATTGCGGAAATTTCAGAAATTTCGGAAATTACATCATTTTAGGAAGTAACGTGCAATTCAGAACACAAATGCTTGAAATTTCCGAAACTTCCGAAATTTCCTTTTTCGGAAGTCTGAACACTGCTGCCACCATTTGCTTTTGCAAATTTCAATCAATATTCTCAACAATATAATCCGAATCAATGTTTTTCAAGTCCATTAATAACTTATGCTGGTTAATCTCCTCTAGGTGGACAATATTTTTGTAATCACAATCCATCACCACTTATTTCAGCATTAGCTTAACAAAATATATGCCAAGTTAATGATGCACAATATCAAAGACAATTATTTTCAACCCTGTAGACAATATTTACAAGATCCTTATTTTATTAATAATTATCTTTAACATAAACTTTTTTCCTTTTATTTTCGTATTTCATTTTAAACAACACGTCTCATACATCAGCTTTATAAACTAGTAGAAAGAAAAACAAAAAAATAATACAATCATTTACGATCATTTCGAATTCTAAGAATTTTTCTTCTTTAAATGAAATCGAAAATAATGGATTTTTACTTTGTTGTTAATTTAAAAAATATATATTAACAAAGAATATCTTGTTTATTCTAAAATGTGGAAGATTATTTGGTAGACATAGAAATATCAGAGAGAGATTTTCCGAAACATTAATTCCATTCCATATTCTTATTTAATTAGAAGTAATATGCTTCTCTTTTTCGTTTATCAGCTTTTTAATTCAAAGAAATACCGTGATATATTCCTCGTTGTATAGAACAAGGTGGTGGAAATTCTGTTGATCTTGTAGAATTAATTATAAAAAAGTTTCCATCTTATAGAGATCAAACTATTTATCATGAACAAAAAGCTTCTTTTATTTTTTCAAACAAACATTTCCTCTTTAAGAAATTTACTAGATCAATATTTATTTAACTTTTTTTTCTTATTATTCATTTCTTTAAAATTTTTTTCTCATGTAGCATCAGAACCAAATTTATTGAGCAACAAGAAAATTTCAATAACAGCATCAGGAAAAATAAACTTGTTTAATTGAACATAATGATTTAGTATGATAAAATGGATGCGTAAAAGTTAAGTACGGAAAGTTGTGCACGGGAAAGATCAGTACCGGAAAGATGAGCATGAAAAAATGAATATCAGCATATAGATAAGTTTATGAACTAAACATTAAAATTTTTTTGCTTTTATCAGAAACTTATGACAAACAATGAATTACAATCAAATACTATGTGCTAATGAATCAATTTGAGTTAAAATATCTTGATGAGGATTTGAGATAAGATTTATTAATCGTTTTGAGGTGTGAGCGCGGGTGGGTGTGGGTCGAGATATTCTCTTAACCCATTTTCACATCCACACCCATTTATATTACTCTGATTGTTATTGCCATATATTTGTTGATATTCATTTTTTCGTGCTCAACTTTCCCGTTCCCTTTCTTTGAAACTAAAGCGCTACAATTGAAGTTTATGATGAGTGTGTGAATGATTGCTAAAAACTGGTTCGTATTTGTTTCTTCCAGTGAACATCTTGAAGTGCACGGTCACTTTTTCTTCCATCAGCTACATACTCACACTCTTCTCCGAATGCATAGAAAGAATCAGGACATCATGCATCCCTCTCACGTTTACACCGTCGATATTTACGACGGATCCCAGCTCCTGAGTTTCAAAAGTTAGATTCTTGTCCTCAACCAACTTAATGCGACAAAAATTAGATGGTGAAACTATGTGATTGATTAAATTTCCCGAATAGAAAAGGCTTGATTTAAATAGCTTCTTTGAACTCACAAATATATCAGTACTTATCACTTCGCGCTAGCAAGCAAACATGCCAAGAGGTATACAGAACTTATGCTATTGCTTATAATTCTTTCTAATGTTTAGGATATATAGACTATCGTGGACAAGATTGTAGATAATTAAAAGTGAAATTCAAACTTATAAAGAAATTCTGTTTAGAAATATGAATATTGCGTGATCATCGATTCAATTTAGACATACTATGATTCAAAAATAAAGCTTCAAAAAAATGTCTGAATACATAGAAAGTCTTTGATCATATTAGAATGTTACAAGCAGACTTTCCTCTTTCGTACTACCCTAAAAAATCAGAAATAAAGCTTTCATTTCTCTGTTATTTTTAAATTTTATCTTAGGAAGCGTATTTTAAAATCAAGTTACATTTTTAAGCAGTAATAATCTCTCTATAGATTTATTTCATGATTCCAGTGCTCTTCCGATTACATTATCTGTCCTCATAAAAAAGTATCATTTATTCCTTTATTTTTTAAACAACGTTTTCTTAAACATTAGTTTTCAATATTAACGAGGAAACATACTCAATTGTCGAACGTCGTTCGGGCCCATATTTTGACTATGAATAGGTGTAAGAAAATGGAATTATTTAGTTTCTTTATTTCAAGAAATTGAGATCTGTAATTGTTAACATAGAATTTTCATTTGATACACGAGTTAGAATCATATTCATCCAAGAAGGTTCGATCAATCTCAAGATAACATTCATGTAAGTCTTGATGCTATACCTTACTGCAGGAAAGACTTACTTAACCAATTTCTCATAGTTTGTTTCAAAAATGGCTATGGCCACCTTAGTTGAATCTCTTCTGGGTATTCGAAATTCTCAGGAAACTGGTTTTTGATGAAGAAGATATACTCGATGATAGATCGAAGAATAGTAACTACTTTCACTTTTACATTACATGGTAGACTTAAATGGACGTTACGTCTAGATTGATTGAACTTTCTTGAATGCATATGATTCTGCTTCATGTATCAAATGAAAATTCTATGCTAACAACTATAGACCTCAACTTCTTGAAATGAAGAAAAAAAGCCCATTTTCTTACACCTATGTTGCAATTGGATCTCTATCGAAGAACGTCATAGACAAAAATCCTTTTAGAGTTTCTTCAGTCTCACTAAGTTCTATTCATAGCCAAAATATGAGCTCGAACAGCGTCCGACAATTGAGTATGTTCCCTCATTAGCCGTCGATCCGTATATGGTCATAACTCGTCGACTGAATTTTCATAGATTATACGATTCAAAGGCGATATAATCAAACTATATACGTTTACACAAGAGAAGCGATATTGAACATAAATATTGAAAACCGAGTAATGAGTTTTTGTTAGTCGTAATATTAATGATGTCGTTTCTAATATTCCGAACGATCGACTTTAGTAGATTTAAAAACGATAAAAATTTTTAGTACCATTCATGAAATACATAACTTAATAATTCTAATTATAGATATATGACACTATCTCATTTCTTTCTGAAAAGAAAAGCTTTTAATTGTTCACTTTCCTTTTGAAAAAGTAAAGACAAATTTTTATTGAATTTTTTCTATTTTTTTTTTGTGAAAGCAAAAAGACGAAAGTAGAAGTAGCTATTTCAAATTCAACTTGTGGTTTTTTTTCGTTTCATCCAATGTTTGTTTAACTAAAAAAAAAAAAAAAACTACAAATAAAAATGTTTTATTTCAATATTAAGTTAATAAAGCTTGTCGTATATGTAAATCAAGTAAAGAATTTTCTTGAAAACGAAATAATGTTTGTCCATGAACATAATATGATTCAATATAAATAATAATTGGTAGAAGTGCAATAAAATCTAGACGACTTATTTTCATTGTTTTAATCTTTGGCATAATATATTCTAATTCATTTGATATACGTTCAATTTTATTATTTCCTATTCGTTTTTTAATAAATTCAAGAAATTGTTCATAATTTATTGTTTGACTATTAGATAAACATTGATTATTAAAATCTTCTAATAATTCAAAAATATTATTATGATAATAATTAAAATCAACATCATCTAATAATGTATTCCATAATTTTGAACTATAAAAATGTTACAAAAATTATTTTATTCGAAATATAAAATCTTCTTTTATTTTATTTACTCTTGTTTAGCTACCATTTCAACAATAATAGCTGTTGCATAAAATTCTTGTAAACCAAAATATGTTGCACCACTTATAATATCATATAACTAGAAATTAAATATAAAATCTATGACTTAAACATAGAGAGATGTACTAACTACACGAAAAAATGTTAATTGAGCACGAGGAAAATTAGATGGTAAACATCTTTGTACTTGTGGATATGATATATGTCTAAAAGATTAATTGATATTTATAAAAAAAAAAAAAAAACTTCTTTTACAAATTTACCCATCTTTATCTGTATCAAGTTTATCAAATAAACGTTTCAATCGATTACGTGCTGATTCACTGAGCAATGAACCTACATCCATATGCTAAACAAAATAAGATTAATTAAGTATTTAATAAAAATATTCAAAAACCTGAAGTGGATGATAACTTTTTGTTTCTTCTTGAGGTTCAATATCTACGAAAGTAGTCGATCGACTAAATATATTTGAAGTTTGTGGTGATTTACATCTTAATATTGCTTTTTGTGTGAGATTTTCTTTAACTACATGATCATTCATGTTTGGTAAATGTAATTGTACAGTGATTGGTTTAAATAATTTCGGAAATGAAGATTGATTTACGTCTGTTGAAGATATTTTTTGAGATGTTCTTATTTAAAGATAAAAAAAAAGACAAAAGTTTAAGAATAAAGAAAATATAATTATTAAATTAATCTTACAATGAATCTTGAATATTAACTAATTGATTTGAATTCTGAACTATATTAAAATGAAAAAGTCATTTCTTAAGTATTTCATATAAAAAAACAATTATACTTCTTGTCGATATTTTGTTTACAATTGTTGGTAATTTAACTATTGGTATTACATCTTGTTTTTCAGTTACATTTAATTGTTGTTGTTGTTGTTGTTGTTGTGATTTTGATTTTCTTATTACTGTTGTTGATGGATTAAATATTTGATTTCTATGTATTGGTTGTATCATGATCCCTTTCTTAACAACAGTCGTATTTAAACATGTTTTTTTTTGCTTCGAAGACATTCTTCAACATTCTTCTTATGACATCTCTTTTCAATTTAATGGACTTAACGTTATGAATGAAAGGAAAAAGAGAAAAAAAGAAAACGAAAATGAAGGTGTACAGACATTTTATTTTTATAAAAAAAAAAAAAAAACAGTACAAAAATCACTTTCATCAACTGAATTCAATGTTGATGATTTGAAGAAGCAATCGAACAAAGTAAACTAAATGAAATACGTACATATTGGGAGAAATCTTTCAATAACCGAAGAACTACTAGATTTACCTGTGCTCATCTATTGATAGCTAACTTAAAAGAAAGCCACAGTTCTCAAGAGATAGTCTTCACTTTCAACTGATCATCGAACTTTAAGTATCTCATCTTCAATCTAATTTTTTTTGTTTGATGATTACATATATAATGAGATTTATAGAAAAATCCTAATAATTTCCAGAACTTATAATTCAAAACTGGATATTTTTCAATTTAAAATTATCAAGTAATTCATATGATGAAGAATGTCTTAGCCAAAAAAACTTTCTGCGGTAATTAACACCCAAGATCATGCATAAGAAGAACGAATACCTTATAAGTATTGTAAGGTACATTTCAATGGTTTCTACACATGTTTAAATGACCTTCAACAATACTATATGATTCAAATGATATAGTTTTATATTAAATAGTCTATTTTTATTAATTAGTCATATTAAAAAACCAACAAACAAACAAAAAAAAAAGTCTATAGCAATCATTTCATAGTTTTCTTTTATTCATTTTATAATTTCAATGATATCTTCTTGTTTTAAATTTTCTTCATTATTCGATTGTAATTTATCATTATCATGAATTATTTCTCCATTAGTATTTAAATTTTTCTTTTCTTCTTTTCGTTGTTTATATTTTCTTATTTGATTTCGTATAATTAAAATAATCCAAAATGGTTTTGTTGTAAAAAATGAAACAATCATTGGTACAATCATACCTTGTGTTGCATATGGTTGTGGAAATGAATACATTATAATTATAAATGCAATACCAACATTTTGTATTCCAGCTTCAATACCAATTGTTTTTATATGTGTCCAATTCATACGAAATATCCAAGCAAGAATACCACCAAATAAAAAACCTAAAAATGGTAATAATGGTGCTGTTAATGCTGTATATAAATCAATCATTATAAATAAATACCAATTAACAATTAAACCAAATGTAAGAAAAAATAATAAAACAAATATCATTATTGGTTTAATAAGTTTTTTAATAAATGAACGTGTTTTAGGATAAAAATAACTTATAACTATGCCAATACTATATGGTATAACAACAAGTGCTAATGAACGTACAAGACTTAAAAATGGTATACGAATTGAAAGTTCATCCATATAAAATCTACCTATTGTATAAAAATATAGAGGCATCATAAAAAATGATGCAGCAGTTGAAACAAATGACATTATAGCAGATAAATTAACATCACCATCAAATAGAACTGTCCATTGATTTGAAGCACCACTACCTAAAATTAGTTTGTTTTTTTTTCTAATAATAAGAAAATCTTATATTAAATAGTATATACAGTGGGTCCCAAAATTATTCAACCACGTGTAATTTGGATTTTTTTTCGTAGCCTTAAGCGCTAGAAAGAATCCAAATGGTGATTTGAATAAAGAATATTGTTACCAACTAGAATTTGACAAAATGATAATTCTCATGAATTTTCCTAAAATAGGATTTCTAGAAAACCAAAACCATGGTTTTTCAACATCCAGAAACTACAACAGAAGCCTTATTTTGACAGTCTGGAATTATAGAGCAGCCAATTCTCTACAAAATGAGACGTCTCTGAGCTTTCTACGACATTCCCTTCAAAAGTTCTAAGCGTCACAAAAATCGAAAAAAAGTGAAATTTATGAGAAAAGCGACCAAAAACCGCATTTTTTCGATTTTTGTGACGCTTAGAACTTTTGAAGGGAATGTCGTAGAAAGCCCGGCGACGTCTCATTTTGTAGAGAATTGTCTGCTCTATAATTCTAGACTGCTAAAACAAGGCTTCTGAATGTTCAAAAACCATGGTTTTGGTTTTCTAGAAATACTATTTTAGGAAAATTCATGACGATTATCATTTTCTCAAATTCTTGTTGGCAACAATATTCTCTATTCAAATTACCATTTGGATTCTTTCTAGCAATTAAGACTACGAAAAAAAATCCAAATTACACCGGGTTGAATAATTTTGAGACCCACTGTAAATATATATTTACCTGGACAACAACCAATAACAAATAGAGCAAGACTATATAAAGGTGTATAATGAAAAATTTTTGCAATACCCATTGCTAAAAAAGGCATTAAACCATATTGAGCAAGAAAACCAATAAGAACTGGTTTAGGATTTTTTAAAAGATCAGTTATTATTTTGAGATCAAGTAAAAAACCCATTAATATTGAAATAATAATAACTATAAATGGAATAATTGTATAAAATAATTTATCAATAAGACGTTTTGGTTGTATTACAAGAATATTTAATGACCAAGAACGTGATAATGATGTGTCATCATCGTAAAATATATCCAAATGAAATATTAATTTTGTTAAACCCATTGCATTACCTTTCATTGACCATGTCATATGAATATTTGAATCATTTGTTGAATTTTGTTTAAGATAGATTAATGTTGGTGAAGGATATGCATTAAAAATATTACCAAGACTTTTTTTACGAGATACTAAAATCAACAATAATCAATTGTACAATTCTTTATTAAAATTCTTCTATCTATTCTTTAGTAGACGGAATTCTTATCAAGTAAAAATAGTTGATGTAATAACTTCTTAACTGTAAATAGCAAAGTTCAATACTAAAGTACAATAAAATTACGTATTTATAAAAGTGATCTTCATCATTTTTCTTTTCAAATTAACATAAAAGAATATTATTCTCCCTTTGATCTACGTATACTACTAAAAGTTAAAGGAAAGTACATATGAATCTAGTAAAACAAAGAAAACATTATGATCAAAAGTTGAAGATTTTTTCTATAAAAGTTTCGTTGATTGTGAAAAATGTTTTGATGTCTCAAAAGTTCAATTTGCAACAATATTACTAATTATATTCTAATTACTTGTTGATGCATTAGAGACTATAGTTATGTAATTAGAAACATCTGAGAAGATAATTTGATAAGAGCTACGAAATCGAAGTACTGATCAAAATTTTAACTTCAAATGGCATCATCTAAAATGAGTAAACCTAAATTTTTAGTTCATTTTCGATATTTCTTATAATTCCATAAGTCAGAGAATTTTTGAAATGATAGATCATTAACAGCTGATAAAAGAAAATGAGTTACTTTGAAATATTGTATATCATTTATTTACTGAACCAATACGTGTAGAAAAGGTTCCAATTTAGCAGTCTATAATATCTATTTGTTGATATTTTTTTTTATTCTCTAGAAAATAGTAAAAACATATTGAAAGAGTTCATTTTCGACATTATACAAGGCTTGTACTATCAATCCTTGAAAGAAAACGCTCTCGGGTATTTTCATTCTAGCTAGAATTATATTGTAAGATCTTCTGAAAAAAATCAAAAGAAAATTTCGACCCTCTACATTCCTGAGGGATCACAGAGTTTCGAAAAAAAAAAGTTTTTTTTGCAAAATCAGATAATAATCATACTTTACCGATATGAATGATTACTATCCAATTCCACGAAATAAAATATATTTTTCAAAATTCTCGTGATCCCTTCTTAGAAGTGTCGGAGGTCGAAATTTTCTTTTTTTCGAAAGAACTAACACTGTAATTCTAGCCAGAATGAAGAATGCTCGAAAACATTTTTTTTTAAGGTTACTCACCTGTCTATTAATAGTACAAATTTCATTTGTCTCAATAAAACCTTTTCAATATATTTTTACTATTATCTCAAGAATCAAAAAATTAGCCCTTCAACAAATGGATATTATAGACTACTAAGTTATCATTTTTAAAACTCATTTTATCTCAATAAGTAACCTATTGTTTTGTAGAGGTTGCGATGACCTCTTATCACAATCTATGGACATGAAAGAAAGTCGAAGTTGACTTCGATTCTGTTTCGTGTTTGGATGCCTCTTTAGAACATTCTCGGAAATGCATCAGTTTGTACAGTAAATATTAGAAAACAAAATTAATATATTAAAACAAAATTTTTAGCAAAAAATTTTGTTGACTCTGTACGCGGAATGATCTTTCGAATGCACACAAAAAAATTTAAACAATCTTTCATATACTGAGATGATCATCGATATTCTCAAAGAACATTTCTTAACAAGACAAACTATTCATCATTTTCATATTTTTAGAAAATCAGCTACTAAATCTTTAAATTAATAATCATTACTCACAAATATATAAATCTTCTACTAGGATAGTATTTGAATTATTAATTTTGATAGTTTCTGTTGATATTGGAACTTCTTTTCGAAGATTGATAATATTAGGATTGGTCGAAGTTATTTGAATTTTAAATCCAACTACATTACTATTATTATGTTTATTATGATAAAAATCATTTGAATCAACTTGTATTGTAATATGACGTATTTGAAATAAAGATATTTCATATGATTTATTACCAAACGATGTTAAATATTCAATATTTTGATCTTTATCATTCTTTGTTTTATCAATAAATATTTCAAAACTATGAATATATTTGATGATTGTTATAAATATGATGAAACATTTGAATACTTGTCCTTGCATCATTGTCTCGATGAAATGCCTTATGCTTCCTTGTTTTTTTTCCTCAGTTACTTATCATATCCTGTTTGTTTTTTACTTTTTATTACAGAATGTAACAAAAAAACAATTACGGATGTATAAACAATCTCAGTATAGCATGACAAAAAAAAAGACAAAAGTATATTAGGATAACGATAATCTCCATATAAAGATTTGGGCGTTTTCATTACAACCAATTAATGTATGACCATTATGCGTAAACGAAAGATGTCGTACCATTGATTTTGATTCACGATGTGTTAATATATTTGGTCTATAAATGAAAAAAATTTTTTTATTTAATACTATGACCAAAACAAAATCCGACCAACTTACTGATCAGGAAGTGTCGTCATATTCCAAATGAATATTGAACCATCGAGACGACCAATAGCCATTAACTAGAAAAAGGAAATTGATTTCATTATTTTATTATTAATTTTTATGACTAATAAAATTACCTTTCGCGTGACTGATAAACCAAGTCGAACATCGAATATAATATTAGATTTTTCTGATCGATTCCATCGAAACAATATATTCGGATCTTTTTGTTCAACATTAAATTTCCAAATGCAATAAACATGATCAGCTGACTTCAAAAACAAAATTCTATCGTTTCTTTTTCTTGTAAACAATCAAAACACTAACCTTGCTGACAATAATATCCTCACTAAACCATTTTACAGAATCGACATAATGTTCATGCAAAGTATTTGAATAAAATATCGGAAAATAAACATGATGTGGTGCTGAGAGTCTAAATAATAAAATTGAATAATTCAAATGTAGAGATTATCAAAGTCTTTATTTCATGCTTGATAAAACTAATGAGAACACCTCTCCAGGCGTTAAAACATTTTTCGAGCCTTCATTTTTGAGATATCGAAATTTCATAAAAAGCTATGTCATGTCTGAGATCCACAATCTTTGGACTCAGTCCAACCGTACTTTGATCGTTTCTTCCGGTTTGTTTTGTATTCGATGTCAAGTGTACCCTACATATTTCTCAGATGACTCATTTGAGAAATGCCTAGGACAGAATTATTGGGTCCAAAGTTTCCCAATCCAGACTCGTGTAACAGAAAAAATGTCAGACCGGAACAACCCGACGATTTATACATTCAGCTAACATGAAAAATCAATTTTACTATTTCTACGGGCAAAGTTCTCAATGGAATGAGTTGATTGTACAAAGTTTAGCTTTTTTAAAGATATAAATATACTACTTTTACACATGAGACAATTTCGAATATCTCAGGATAGCAGATACTAGAAAAACTACAACTTGCCCAATGAACAAATGTCATTAAAACCTTTGTTCGTGTAAAATTGAAACTTTCACGTGACTTGAGGAATCATAGGAAAACAGAATAAAATTTCGAGATCGAAGGCCTGAAAAACAAAACCATTCGAGATTATTTTATTACTCATCAAATGAATATCATCTCAATCGACAAGCGATTTAATAACGGGAGAGATTTTCTCGTAAGTTGATTCTTGAAATAAAGAATATAGTAAAAATTTTGTATTTATAACACTGAATTGATAATAGGTTTGATCGAGTATTATTCGCAGAGAACTTTCGACAATTGCTGATATTTTTCGTATGAATTAAAATTGTGAAATTTTAAATCATCTCTCACAAAAGAATATCTAGATGCGAACATTAGAATTCAAAATCTTCTTTTGTTTTTACCTAAATTCTTTAAACAAAGGTCCTCTTTTAGCTATAGCCATATTTTCAATTATTTCTTTATCTTGTGTCGACCATACACACACAAGATTATCTAAACCACCGGATACAATGAATGTACCATTGTAATTGATATCCTATAGTAAACAAAATATAGAATCATATATATATATATATACAAATGAATACAAACCACAGAAAGAACACCTTGTTTATGTTGATCAGGTCCAACATAATTAGCTAAACAAAGAGCTGCTTCAGCATCCCATAAATAAACTGCATAATCTTGAATTAAAAACAAAAACGTAAATGAAAATATTCATTAATTTAAACTAACTAGAACATGAAGAAGCCATTAACGTTGGTTGTTCACTAGCAAATGCAATTTGATTAACACTACCTAAATGACGAAGCTAAAAGAAAGAAATTTCTTCAAGATTTATTTTATCAATTTTACAAACCGGTTTCAAATGACATTGATGAGCAATATTAATAACTCTTACAACACCACGTAATCCAGCAGCTGCTAATATTGTCGTATTTCCAAACATTGTCCATTTACAATCATAAAAATATTCTTTATCCTACATATATATGAATAAAATTTATTTTATTTCAAAAAAACGTATTTCTTTTTTTTGCTTGCTTACGTCTGAATCACAATAACTTTGAATAAGTTGAACAGATGATTTCTCATCGATGATAGTATATTTATAAACACAGATCTATTTTATAAATCGAAAATAGAATTATGAATCATAAAGAATATTAAACATACTTGATTTATAGCGCATGTAGCAAATAAAAATGCTTCTTCACTTTCATCTGATAAAGCTTGTTGACAAATACTTATACTATAAATTGCTTTTTTATGACTTTCCTTTTATTTAAAACAACAAAAATTTTTGCAAACAATTATGTTTATTTATGAAATATTACCGTAATAATATGTTCACATTGGAAATTGTCTTCGTCATGTACTTCATTATCACTGCTCATTTTTTTTTCAGATGTTCTTAGTCTATATGTTTATTACGACATAAAATCATGTTTAATATAGCAGATATATATACATATGTATAAGAGGAGAGTTGACCGCTATGTGTGTATGTGAAAAAAAGAAAAACAATGACCGTCGACTTCTTTTATTTAATATGGAAAAAATAGACGGTCAAATGAGATGAGTGTAATTGCTATCGACGTTCTTCAAAAAAAATATTGAGATATTATAATTTTTTCACTGGAGAGTACACGAAACTGATTGTACAACTCGATTATATTTTTTTGGTTCAATTTACTGTATTTGTAGAAAACCTCAAAGATTTCTTATTTGGATAGAGTATGAATTATGCTATCGAACTATAGATGTTTTATTTGCTATAGCATTATTTTGTAGTTAATTTCATAGGATGAGCAAATCAGAGGTTTTTCAAGTCTTTCATCTTGAATTTAGTTATAAATAGAAAAAAAACTCCTGTGTAGATATGCTTTTTAACTGGACTTGTCTATCTTTGGTGAGGTTTTTTGTTTTGACAACTAATGTCTACTGGAGTATTAAAAATTTTTATTTATATATAGATCATTTGTTTTTCTAATATAAAAATGATCGAAATTTTAATAGTAAAATTCAATTTTTTCTTTAATTCTAAATTTGTTTTGTTTCATATTTATTACACGTTCTAGTTTAATGAATCTCTTTCATCTACAGTAATTTTTATGATTAATAAATTTAGTTTCAATGAAATGTGGGCGTGAAAAAATTTCCATTTCATTGTTTCTTAGAGTTTATTAAATTATCGGATAAGATGCAAAATAAATTAAATAGAAACTACTTAGATGGTTCATTAGAGCAATTGATACTCCATCTAACTGTATCAAAATAAATTATATCCGAGATTTTATATAAATACAGTAAATCGAATAAAACTATCAAAAATTATGTAATCAAATTGTTAATGTTCATTTCATGATAGTTATTAACAGAACGAAATGAAGAAATTTATTTTTGATATTTGAATTGATGTTTTTTTTGTTAACATCTGATTAATATGTTCTCTTTATCGATTTTTCCATAAATAAAGATAAGGACTTAAAACCAAGTGATTGTAGAATTATTTTATGCTTCAAACATATTTAAAAGTTAAGTTCGCTATAAAAGAATCTTATCTAAATTATTACAAGTTACAAGGTCAAATTAACATCAATTCAAGAATATCGATATTAATTTGTATACTGATTATTCCAAGCACAATGATTCTAATGGATATAAGACAGAGAATTGTTATCATAACATCATTGAGTTCAATGTTGATTTATGATTTCACATTAGATTAAAAATATTATCATTTATTTCTAAAAACGATAGTCCTTTCATGTTTGTGAATTCAAAAAAATATATATGTCCTGCTGAAGTTATAACTTACGAGAGAAGTTTGTGCATCTCATTGATGAATGTCTTTCGATCATCTATGCTCGTGGATTTTGTTTCAGCCATCATTCCTTACGTTAACTCTTTCTGAATATTTAACATGTATATTCATTTATAGATGTTGCAAGTATCATGTCAGAGTATAGCCGATAGGTTCGGTCATTGAAATTAGGATCGTCAAAAACAAGCATCGCTAAATTTCGATGATCTCTATTTCAGTGATGTGATTTTCGACGAAGAGCATATTGACTATATAAACAAGCAGATTTAGTGTTCTTATTTCAAGACAAAAGATCTGAAGTTTTCACAGTCAACTACTCGTTAAGATCTGTCTCTATGCAAAGTTTCAAATCGAAATTTGAAACTCGGTTTGTCTGGGGAGAGACCATGGCATTTATTCAAGAAATACTGTAAAAGTGCAGTATCTTCGTAGCAATAAGTTATGGACATGAATTCTTTTCAGGACATTCATAGCTCATTTAGATATACATGAAATGCATAGTCTCGACTCAAAATCGATTAAACAGTTGGAAGACTTACCGTTTGTTGTCGAAACTACAATATCAACAGCGAGTCTTGCTAAAGTTATTCTTTGTTAATTAAAAAAAACTTCAAAAATGATTTCATTGACAATAATATTATGAAAGTATATTATCCAAATTAAAGTTACAATCAAAAATTATATTTCTTTTCTCTAAATACTCATATGAAAATGAAAAAAATAGACCGAAGAATAAGTAAAATTATGCGTTTAAAATAAAGAACATATCAGATAATAATCATACAGAAAAAAAAAGAATTAATTCTATAGAAAATGAACCTTTCATTTATTGACACCAGAAAAATAATAATTTTGCTTGTAATACTTTCTATATTGAGAAAATCAAATATGATTTCTGAATTATCCGTGAATGGACACTTTAAAATACATATGCATTATTCCACCAACAGTTTGTCATATTTTCAAAAGAGGGACAAAGACTACTTGAACACTGAAATCTTTATGTTGGAATATCATGTGGCAACAGTTGAATAAAAACCTATTTTAGTTGTAAAATTTTACATCAGCAAGATATGAACTTGAAAAAAAAACCAGCAGTCAATCATTAGTATCCAAATATGATGCAACAATGTCACAAATTAATTAGTTTACTCATGCGTTCATTTGACCAGTTACTGATCGGACGTACTTTTTTTTTCATTCCTTCTCTTCTCACATATACACATATATTATTGAATTATTACGTGTGCAGCGCGTGATTACATAGTTTCTTTCAATTATTGATAATTTCGCTGGTCGAAAATCAAACGTTATCTTAAACCTTCTTCCTCTTCGTTCCATGCACTTATTGATTCATTAGAAAACCTGAGCAAGTGTGTGAAGCTGCTGCTAATTTTTACGAAGACTTCTTTAAACAATAGGAGGCCGTAAGACCACATCCCTATACTGATGCACTCTTTGTTGAATTTGACAATGAAGACGAAAAGATTTCTGAAGTTTCTCTTGATGAATTATTTGAAATGGTACAGGCAAAACGCAGGAAGAAATCTTTGGATACTCATAGAATTTCAAAATTTATGTTTAGTTTCCTAGCCTCGTCGAACTGGTCCTTACTTCTTCAACTTTATAACCTTTCTTTCCAAAAAGCGACTTTATCTTTGGCTTCGAAAGACATTCGAATGATTCTTCTAGTTGAAAAAAAAGTCTATCCATGCCTCCTTCGCAATGCAATCGATCTCACTACTCGATTCCTTTTAGAAAGTCGGAGAGAAACTTTTCTTACATGTTTTAGATAGAAGAGAAATACTTCCTGATAGTCAATCAGGTTTTAGAGAGAGCTTTAGATTACAAACGCATTTATTACTATTCTTAGAAGATATATATAGCCTAATGTCGAATAATGCCTCTGTTTGCATCATTTTTGTTGATGATAGGTCTGCGCTTGACCAACTGTGGTCCACCGGGTGCATAGAAAAACTATGTAGATTAGGTATTCCTCCTTCGTATCTTGCTTGGATAGATGCATGGCTTCGAAATAGACTTCGTTTTATAGAAATTAATAGTAGAAAATTGTTTTGGTTCTCGATAGAAAAAGGTGATCTTCAAGGTGGAATTTTAACCCCCAGTTTATTTATAACATATCATTGTGATATAGACCAATTCCTTTCGTGATGCTCGAGTCATTTCTTCGCAGATGATCTTGCTGCAATAGTTTCTGGACAATTAGGTTTTAGTTTTACTGAGCAATGTTTAGACCTGGAAAAATGAATTAAACTGTTCCTCGACCAGCTTGAATATTATTCGTGTTTGTCCATGCAACCAATAAACTTTTCCAAAACAGAGGCGGTATTTAGTGCTTGTACTATAGGGTTTACCGAATTTCAATATATTTTTTGGTCCTAATAATGAAAAGATGATCAATTAGGTCAACGAGTTTAAGCATTTAGATTACTAAATTATCCTCAAATTAGGCTAGAGTAATGTGATCCAAAAAACAATGATAAAAATTAGACCACACGTCTCGTTAATTAGGTCGTTTAAACTCTCCGGTTGTATCTCTCCTCAGTTAAGGCGTGCCCTATTCGCATCGTATGTATTGCCATTATTTACATGGATCTATCCTCTATTTCCACTCTTCTCTAATAAACAAAGAAATGATCTCTCGCATTTTTATTTCACGTGCCTTTGTACAGTTATGATTTCTTCGCATTGAAATGAAAACTTTTTTGCATATGCAATGAATGAGAAATCATTGGAAGACAGATGTTCTTCGCACTGAGACAAATATTTGGTAGCTTTAGCCGACTCTATTGACGGGGAACTGATCCTGGAGAAAGCCAACCTAAACGTTCTTAGGAAAGTTTGGCTCTACGGTGAATTTCCTTTGAAAGGTCTCAGACGTTCCAAAAAATTCGTTGAGTGTACCTCCATATTAGAAAAAGTTATCTCCTGGCTTAGGTCAGTCCCTTGTTCTTCATCAATGCCCTTCTTCGAGATGGAAGATATTCAACTTCTCCAAGAATATCCTGAAACTTTCTAGTCATGATTCTTGTAGGTTCAATAATGCATGCACGTTTGACGTGAACTTGTGTTCCTTCGTTGTCTGTTCGTGTTATCTTTTGCCCTCTGCTACGTTCGTTCGTTTTCTGCCTCTCCATATTTCCTTTTACTGGTGTCTTGTTGCGTGCTCTTCCTTTGGAGTTTGTTTTCTCTTTACTGTGTTACCTGTTTCTTTCTTCATTCTTCTTCTTTCTCTACTCATCATATTTTGTACTGTAAGAATCTTTCTGATTGCAGTTAGAACGTAATAAAAAAGAATAAAAATTAATTAGTTTACTGTTGAATTGGTTGTCAATAAAAAATTAAACAAAAAAAAAAAAACATCATGCAAAAAATTTTTATATAAATATATTTCTAATTTTTTTCTATGCTTGTTCATTCGCATATTAGTTTGAAATAAAAACAAAAAATAGAAATTCTTTTTTTGTCATAATATCATTGTCAAATGATGATTTATTTTTAACTTTTTACCTAATATAGAATAATTTTGACACGACACATATACTGTCA